ATGTTTGTGTTTCTCTACTAAATTCTCAATTTCTGTGGTGGATATAAACACAAATAGTAACATCAACCAAACAGAGACTAAAGTTTTGATGAATTTTGATCTTTCTACAAGCAATGAAACTGTCAAAGTTAACCATATAAGCACCCTACCAATGTTCATCACCTAATCTGAACAATTGAAGCTCATAGTTCTAGTAATCACTTTTAATAAACAATGGCCAAGATACGCATCGCCAGTTAGAAAACAACAAATAGCGACTGATACAGAAATCCTGTCATGTTGGAGCATGGAAATGTTCTACAAATAATGAGTGATAGTTAGGTTGTATTTTTCCCTTTATTGTATTGTTGGTGTATTTTCTCTCCCTCATATATAAAGGGAGAGGTGGTCATTTCTTAGTATGCACCTTACTCACAAAGTAATTCTAGAGAGAGAGAATTGGTGGGTTCTCTCCACCTAGGGAGAGTTTTCTCTCCCACCAATGTTCTCCATGAATATTATTTTATCTCTTTTTCTTTCTCATATTTCCAAGAAATTGGTATCAGAGTCGTACCTTGAAGGTTTAATCGACTAGTTCAAGGGAACGGCTCCCATTCGGTGATTATCTTGAAGATTTTTCGTGTTTTTGCAAGAATTTTCGGGTCCAAACCGGAAATTTTTTGATGAGTTTTCTATTTTTCTGGGGTGATTCTTACTTAGAAGAATAATTATGTTGCTACTGCTCACACAATTTCTCTGCTGGAAATTTATGTTCTTGAAGTTCTTAGTATTTTTCTGTTGAAGAAATGAAGAAAAATAGGAGAATAAATTATTTTTGTGGTCTCCAAAATGTTGAAGAAATTGTTTCAGGGGTTATTTTGTTCCTGGAAATGAGAAGACACAAATTAATGGGCTTCTTTTCTTTGAAGTGGTGTTCTTTTTTACCCAGCAGCTTGTAAATCTTCATGAGGTATGAAGTTGTTTATTCCTCATTTTTTCTTGTTGTGGATCTTTAATTTGAAGAGATATGCACGTAATATGTGTTTCCATAAAGAACTTTGTCCTTGTTACTCTTTTGGGTAAAGAGTACTCCACTATTTACTCTCTCAAAAAGACAAAACCATGTGACTATGATAAATCTCATCACCTTTTGTCCCATAAAACCCACCTGCATACTCTTCTTTTTGCCTTCCCAAGACGACTTTTTGACCCAAGATGCTTAAAAAAATATTCCCCTCATTAAAATATGAATAAATGGCCTTTTTGGTATAATTTTTTCAAGAAAAATAGCATTTTTCGTCATCTGTTCAGCCCTTCTCGGACCCCTGAACCGCAACCAAAAACTTCCTACTGGAGTCTCCTAAGAAGCCTCCCGCAGCCCTTCTCAGCTTTGGTCTGCAGCCCCTCTTAGCTTCTTGACTGCAGCCTCGGTCATCAGCTTAGGACTGCAAGCCATCCTCATTTGCCCTCAGTTCGGATCACTGCCCTTCGGACCGAAGTCCTCTCCTCAGACCGCAGTCAGTTCGGACCGCAACGCGCCTTCTGCAGTCTCGCACCGCAACCACTTGCCCTCCTTCGCACTGTAGTCTCTTCTAAGCACCTTCTCATCCGCACCCAAGCCAACCTCATCCGCACTCCTACCCTTCCTTCCGCAATCAAGCTCCATCCGAAGCCACCTCCATCCGCAATCACCCTCCTCTTAACCTCGGCCCGTTCTTGCTTCAGCCCCTCCCCTCTCTTCTTCCAGCCCTCCCTCCTTTCCTCCTTCCTCCTCCTCCCTCCTTCCCTCCTTCTTTCTTCCCTTCCCTCCTCCCTTCTTCTCAGCCCCTTATTTTTTTGCCAATTATTTTTTTTAACACCAATTTTTTATTTAGCCAATTTTTTTTATTTAACACCAATTTTTTTAAAAACCAATTATTTTTTTAATACCAATTTTTGCCACAAAACACCCATGGATAGTCACATTGGTTCATTTCATGCCGATTATTTTGGAAGATTACTCCATACCGCAGTCGGACTTCATATTATTCTTTGTGATGTTTGCACCGCAACGACGATTGATGAACAAAGTTGTTTCGCATTCTTCACTTTATGGGATATTATGATTTGGCGCTCTTGATCTTCGGTTGACGAATCATGTATCTTGAGCATGTGGACTTTAATTTCTTTTGAAGACCACTTCGAGAATTCCAGCACCGAACTTTGGATATTTTTGGGTATTTTCGGCACAACAGAGATATTTTTCATGCAGTGATTCTTCGTTCTATGGTATTTGTTCGTGCAGCTTCAGCAACTGAAACACCCATCTTCTCATGACTGCAGTGTATCTCTTTTACTCTATTTATCGTGTCTTATCGAGACCCTTCATACATCTAAGGAGAGCTCTCTTAGCTCTTGGTATCCGACACTCTCCATCCGATGATTTGTTGATTTTTGATATCCGGTCATTGGTTATCAAAAATAGGGAGAGAATATCATCCGGATTTGGTTCTTATGATTGTTTGAGTTTGGATTTTTGAAGACTTCTGAACACGATTATTTATTTAGTGATGCGATATGGCACCTATTTTTGGTCCTTACGGATCAAATTTTTGGCATTACTCGATGTTTTCCGATTCAGATTATTTATTCTTCGGATTCTACCACAGGATAATTTTGTGTTTGCATCAGGTTCAGATCGTATGATTTCTCGAGTTTGGATTTATGATATTTTGAAGACGAAGATTATTTTGGCAATGTGACGTGGCACTTATTTTTGATCCTTGGATCAAATTTTTGGCATTGTTGGACCATGTCTTTGGAATCACATTATTTTTATCCGGACTTCATTTTTTGGATGCTTCACATTTTTAGCAGGTTATTCTTTGAAGAATCTTGGTGTATTATGATTCGAGAACTTGAGATGTTTTTCAGATTTTTGAAGCCGAAGTGTTTCTTTTGTTGGATCTTCTACTTGCTCATGGTGATCTTCTTCTGGTGATTATAACTAGTTTGAAGATTTGGATCTTATTTTTTCTGCTCCATTGGTGGTGCTTTGAAGCCGGAGACCTTCATTTTTAAGAGATTCATGGCCAGTTTCAGACTTCACAGACACTTCAGAGTTTCAGCGACATTTCAGCATTTGGTTCTCATTATGTTTCATTTTATTACCACACTTGCTAGTCAGATTACTGTATTATAGCCTTGTGTCACTTATTGTATCTCTCATCGTTTGTAAGCATTTAGGAAGAAAATGTTGGAGCATGGAAATGCTCTACAAATAATGAGTGATAGTTAGGTTATATTTTTCCCTTTATTGTATTGTTGGTGTATTTTCTCTCCCTCATATATAAAGGGAGAGGTGGTCATTTCTTAGTATGCACCTTACTCACAATGTAATTCTAGAGAGAGAGAGAATTGGTGGGTTCTCTCCACCTAGGGAGAGTTTTCTCTCCCACCAATGTTCTTCATGATTATTATTTTATCTCTCTTTCTTTCTCATCTTTCCAAGAATTCTCATCATATGTTCTTCATATTTATATTTTTATTCACGATAAATCTCGAGATATTTTTCTTCCACATCCACCATTCGTAAATATTTGGTTCCTACATGTCGCTTCTCCTGTATCGATTCTCTCCTACTCCACATTTCTTCAGATAAACAACTAAAAAAATCGAACAGAACAGTATGACAAACAGCAAGTTCAACAAATCTAAGATGATTCGTTGACTTCCTCGTGATTCCAAACCCAACGAGTTCATATAACTTCAAAACTAATCAAAAATTATTTTTTTGGAGGAAAATTTGATTTAGGGTTTCCTATGAATAACAAAAACAGGAATGGAGTAACAAGAAGATGAAAAAACTTAAAATCGGATATGAAAAATCTCACACACGGGGTGTGTTGGCGGATGACGGCGCATGAGGTGGGTCTCACTAGCGAAAAGGGGAGGGAAGCACTGGCCATATGACGATTGTGCTGATTTTCTGGGTGCTCGGACAATTTTAAGAACAATTGGTCGATCGATGATAGGTTTATGGAGAGGATTCCCGATGAATTTTGATGGATGTTGCACTAAATTTTAGTGGAGGCTTCGATGGGAATGAACTGAGTAATGAAATAAATTAAGGTATCGATTAATGAGTTGAAAACGAGATCGGAAGGAGAGGAAGTGGGAAGCGGTGATGGTGATGGTGTTGATGCCGATCATGAACGTGTTCTACCACACATACGACTAGGTCAAATATATTTACTTTATTTCCTTAATTTCAGAATTTCAATTAAATGATTTCCTTAATTAAAAGCACAAAAGGTCCAAAATACCCTTAAATGATTTATTTAATTATTTGTTATTTCTACAATTCTCATTGGTGCATTTAGGCACACAATAGTTGCTAGAAACATTTGATATATATATATATATATATATATATATATATATATATATATATATATATATATATATATATATATATATATACTAGGTAAAAACCCGTGGAACCCACGGGTGTTAATGTTAAATAGAATTTAAAATATAATTATATAATAAATAATATAGTTAGAAAACTTATATTGTATTATTTATAAAGTTTGTTTTGTATATGATGCAATTGGCTCTCTATTGTTTAAAAAATATTGATAATATAAAATGGATAAAGCTAAATCTAATCAAATTTCAAATTCATTTATGTACAATTTCGATCGACCTTTTAAGTTTTTGCTTGTGGTTTCAAAAAAATTACAAAAATTTTTATATGTATAAAAAAATGATATTTCTGTAATTATTGTTATATTATTTGTATATATTCTTCTACGACCGGCTAATCAATTACAAAAATGACTATTAATTTTCATAATCAAAAGCATTTAAGTAACGACAAAAAAACCCAAAAAAATATCGAAATTAAAATGAACCATCGTCTTAAAATTTGTCCGATAACAACCTACATTTCCAACAATCATTGTACCAAATAACCAAACATTTTTTAAAACCAAACCAACATCTAAAAATATTATTTGTTTGTTAAAACCAAAAACAACTCACTTTTCCATTTTTGGAACTAAAAGTGGATTTCCCTCTCCTATTGATTTTCTTTTAGATTTTGTTAAACTCAAATCACCTCTACAATCAACCTCATAAATGTCATGGAGGTTGCGCTTCAAATCACTTGATATTTTCATTGGACTGGTTGCAGATGATTTATCAGCTGTTGAGGGAGTAAAACTCTCATCCGTTTTTGATATCACGTCCTAAATTAAAAAATCATAAATTGTCAATTGGAATAATTAAATATAAATAAAAGTTAATATGGGAATATAATATACCTTTTGAACATTCTGAACAACATCATCTGCTTCCAGGGGTACTTCATTTAAGGACACCGTATTATTCTTTATAAGGTTCTACATCTTTACAACAACTACCCCTCACTCAGTATCATGATATTATCAACTTCTGCCTGTTTGTTTTGTTTATAAACAAAATTCAAAATCAAAAAATAAATAAATAAAGGTGGATGGCAAAACAAAGAGCTATTTTTTCATTCAAGAATGTTTAATTCTATTCCATCAGAAAAAACAAAAGACTTTTTTTTCACTCTAGTAGAATAAACCATTCCATCCCTTCCTCTTATTCCATTATACCAAGCATCTATTAAAGTTGCAAAAAACACATCTTCCATGAAAATAAACACACAGAAAACTCTTTTTGGGTGCATAATGCATTTACCAATGCAAAAATGTTCCCAGTTATTGTATTATGTGTCATGAGAAGTTTAAAAATAATAATATATTGATATTAATTAATATACCTAAAGAATCCAATGTGCACAACATAGAAACCTTGCAACCCCTAAAGCAAACACATAATGTGATGTGATTGGTTCAACAATCTAAACACACAAATTAAAGTCAATGGATTTATAATTTAATATTTTTAAGCACCACTTAATGGGAAATATAAAACAAACAGGGTCCACATACACAAGTTTCATAACATATTTATAAAACTATTTTAAATATCTTAAAGTAAAAAAGATTTAAATTATTTCATCTAGTTGGGGCCGTTGTAAAAACATTGCAAGCTAATTTTGAGTTGAGTTTTGGGCTTACAAAGTCTAAACCCGTTAACCCAATACAAACTTGACAAAAAGGTTCAAGTAAGAGGTTATTTAAGCAGACAGATCGACACGACACAAAAATAAACCAAAGATTAGATATATACTTCCAAAACAAATCGATGAATCTCTAAGAGCCAAATCTTTAAGCCATTAATTATTTCAATGCATTCAAGCAATGGCATTCACAATTCCAATGAAGAAAGCATGCCCCAAAATCCACAAAGAAAAATCAAATCGTATGCATGCTCTGATTCGACCAAAAACCAACACGTTGAAAAGTAAATTATATGAAACAAGCATAACAAAACAAAAGACAGGACCTGTTAAATCCTGATGCTGCAGTAATCTCACCAGATTTTTATTCCGGCATATTTTTTAAAGGTGGAAAATTCAATCAGTGATGATGATGTTTATCCTCGTCAGAGTCCATCTGGAAGTCCTCCTGGGCCCACTACTTCCAACTGCTAAAAACATTTATAATGTATGAATAATTAAATATAAAACAATTTAATAAAATGTCACATGGTTTTTATAAAGAAATAATTTGCACTCACCTTGAAATATTATGAGCAGACTGGGCATTCATTTGTTTCTCCTTTCTTTAGCCAAAACCAAACAACATCATGCTCATTCTCTTTAACAGAAAAATTACATAAAATGAGATATTATATGATAATGATACCACTACAGTCTCCAAAACTACAGAAAAAAATAAGACTCACCCCCTTCTGCACCAGGGCAACCAACAATTCTTTGGTCATAGTAAGATTTCACAATAGCAGGAGCTTCCTACAGCCCAACACAAAACAAAACATGAGATCACAGCTTCACCAAAACTTCTGATTAACGGCTTTCATGATAGATTTATACATGTTAGGGTTATGAATTGTGATATGTTTGTTATATAATGTAATCACTAACTTAAGTTTAAGGTTAAGAACCACTTAATGGGAAATATAAAACAAATAGGCCCACATACACAAGTTTCATAACATATTTATAAAATTACAGACCGTGGTATTCTGCATAACACGAAGTTGTGGATACATATCTAATTTTATTTTACGGTTATTTTGAAAATTATAATGCTTTTTACATTTTGTCTTTCTTTCCCAAGATGTAAATACATCTCTAATTTTCAAATCTGCTGATCAATATAAACAATGGAGAAGCCCTAGATTGAATTTTGGAGTCAAATCTATCAATTCTCAGAAATTCAATTGGAAAAATTATACAAAATTATATGCTGCATTGCAACTAAGGTTATGGAGATTGTAGAGTCTATGAAGTAGAGAAGCCCCAAATTAGAATTTAGAGTCAAGTTGATGGGCTCTCCCAATCACAGCCGAAAAATACAATCAAAATCGTTTGCTAAGAGTGCAATAATGTTAAGTCAACTGTAGAGTGTAGACATGTTCCCAAAACGCAATCAAATTCTTGTTAAATTTAAGTGCAAAACTTCAAATGATCAGTTCTCATACAGAAATTGATAAAGCATTATTACGGTTTAGGAATCTAATCATCGAATATAGAAAGAATGCAATGGATAAGTAGTATACTTACTCAGTTCCTTTGTTGCGAAGGATGCGGAGCTGTTCAGGGGAGAGAACTGCACGCCATTCCTCCTCTGATTTCACAATAGAACCCATTGAAATCTAATTCAGAACCGCGAAACCCTAGTTTTAGTGATATTTGGGGAATTGATTATCTTGTTGGGGATCAGAAGGATGTTTCACAAATCGAACATGCAAAGTCAAAAATTGAATTTGAAATCAGAAATCGAACCATGTGGCCGGAGGTAGAACGTTGTCGTTGGTGTGTCTGGCCGAATCAAGATGTGGGAGTAACAGCTTAACCTAGATGAGTAAAGTTGCGCAAAGAGTATCGATGCTTACACGAACAGAAATTGTGGCGTCGGAGGGCATATGGGCGTCCTCTTCACCATTGATGAGGGAGTAATCGCAATTCAACATAAGCCTTAGTATAACTGAGAAGAAGAAACATCGGAGAAGTATCAGAGGTAAAATGGAGTTTATCGTAATCGTAATCGTAACGTAAGGATAAGGGCTAAGGACAAGGGCAGTGTTGGTATTTCATTTACGAGTAAAGCGGGAAAAATCGATTGTTAGGGGCTTAGAAATTGCCACGTGGCAAGAAAAGCTCTTATTTATTAGGATAGGAGATATATATATATATATATATATTATATATATATATATATATATATATATATATCTCTAATATATATATAGAGAGAGAGAGAGAGAGAGAGAGAGTTATGTTCCAATGAGAACATTTTTCCTGTGAGAACATTTTTTAGCCTATGAGTTCAAAAAACACGCTTGTTTGTAACTCAAATACAAATTACCCACCTAACTTCCCCCACCATATTATGTCATTCTCTCTCCTCTCATACGGACCTAAACTGACAGTACCGGACCACCACCGGAAACCGTCGGGAGCCACTAGACCACCGCCTGAAACACCAGACCACCGCCAAACCATCGGCTCCAGATTTGCTCGTTCACGATCTCCCCAACCTCTAATCCTCCCACAATCAGAAGCCAACTCCTCATCCTTCTTCTCCGGAGAAATGTTGCGCCGGCCTCCTGAACAAATCGCCAAATCATCATACCGTCGTCGGAAACCACTAGGCAGCCGCTGGAAACCACCAAATCGCCGTCAGAAACCAGCAGCTCTAGATTTATTCGTTCGCCACCTCCCTCTGCCTCTACTCCTCTTATAATCGGAAACTACCACCTCCATCTTCTTCTCAGGCGACATATTGTGGCAACCTCCTAAAAATATTCCTCAGCTTCTCGTCTCAACTTCTTAAACCTTCTATTTTCATTACTCCTCCCTCCTGAACGACCGTCATGAAGCACCGCCACGAACCGCTGCTCTGAGCAACGATTTGGTTTGTTGGAGAAGCTAAAGTGGATCTGTTTTCACAAGATCTGAAGCATATGTACTTCAGCAACCATGAAATCTTCCGCCCTCAACCATTAAATCTAGGGCAAAATACCACCACGTCTAGAGCAACCATATCTAATTTCGTTTGATAAACAGTTAGGGAAGGAAATGGATTTATCTTCGTGATTGAAATTGAGGAAGGGGGAGCAATTCTCCTTGTGCATCGACGCCAACACCAGATTATGTATAAATTTGGGGAATGAAGGTGGTTTAGATGGAAGACCTAGTGATCCATGAATGTACTCCTACGCTTAACGCCTTGTACGTTGGGAGTTTCTACCAATTCTCCCAAATAAGGAAAAGGCTCGACAAAGTGATAACGTAAGGCCCCACTATAAACTTTTTGTTTTTAATTCTAAACTTTTTACTTTTTCCTTTGTGAAATCTATTTAATTAATTGGGGTTGAAATTTCTTCAACAATTTACCAACTCACAAATTTAACAATCGGCTGATAACACGAAATATAATTTCTTTTATTTTAATTAAGATTATGAGTTCAACTAATATAAAAAAATAACGTTTTATTATCAATTATTGAATTACTGAATTAATGAATATTGTTATATTGATATTTACAATAGGATACCTACTATTAACTAATGTGTATACCATTTATTTTTCTTTCGATATATTAAAAAGAAAACAATATGATTTTTGACTATTTATATTTAATCGTGATTAATATATAAAATAAAAAACTATAAAAAACCAAAAATAACTTGTAATTTTTAAAATAATATCATATCGATATTAATAACCATTTATAGATAATTAAAATTATAAATTTTAATATATTAAAAAAAACCAATAAAAATAGCATTTTACAATAGATCGTTAGGGAATCGAGACACGAAAACAGATTATTCACATGTGCATGACATGGTTCAATTACATGTGAATAATTTACTTAAATGTGATAAAATACATGAAATAACATTGATTAAATATACAACATCAATAATCATATGTGATTAAATACATATAATCACATGTGATTAAATTCATGAGACCAACTATAGGAATCGAAAATGTTAAAATAAATATTGTCTACGTAAATCATATGTGATTAAATACATATAATCACATGTGGTAATATCTATTTAATCACATATGATTTATTTATATAAAAATCATTTTCGCGTTCTGGATTTAATAGTCGTTCTTGCGTATTTAATCACATGCGATTATATGTATCTAATCACATATGATTTATATTGACAAGATTCGTTTACGTGTTCTTGGTTAAGTATTTGTTCTAGTTTATTTAATCACATCTAATTATATGCATATAATCACGTATGATTTATGTGCACAAGATTCATTTTTGTGTTCTCGATTGAGTAGTTGTTCTTTATCCATATTAATCATATGTGATTAAATACATATAACCACATGTGATTAAATAAATGAAAAAAGTTATCAAATAGAAAACGCAAAAACGAATATTGTGTATATAAATCATATGTGAGTATACGCATCATACATATAATCACATGTGATAAAATACAGTTAATCACATGTGATTATATGTTTCTAGTCAAATTTAATTATATGTTATTAAATAAATCTAGTCACATGTGATTATATACACCTTAATTAATTATACAAAAGATATTCTTTAAAATGTCCTTTTATGTCACATATGATTTAATCACATGTGATTATATGTATTTAATCGCATGCGATAATAAATAATATGTGATTAGATACATATAATCACATGTAAGTGTATGCATTTAATCACATATGACAGCTAAAAGTTGCTAACTTGTAAATTTATATAAAGTAAACCAAAAATCATTAGAACTAGATCTTTATATTTCTGAAAAGATAAAAGGGGAACTTTACCGATATAATTTTATAAAATTTTAATAATGGGTTGAAAGGTAAGAAAACATATCCCAAACAGAGCACTACAATCAAATAGAAAATAAGGAAATATGTACATAAGTTTTATAAGATTAATACGGCAAAGCACAAGCTAAATTATGTTATAATTTTTGTGTAAGTTTTTGGAAAGGAAAGGATCCATCTTGCTCATGCTAGCTAATTTTCAAGTTCAAGGAGGTGAGTTACACTAACTCTCCTATTATGTAGGCATTACTTATTTTATGTTAGTGTTCACGGATACCCTAATCCGGTAGAGTGAACAAGGAAAGGCAGAATGTAGTTTGTTTTCTAGTGAGAAAAGCAGTCAAGATTCGTTTATGTATTCTCGATCCTTTAATTGTTCTCGTGTATTAAATTACATGTGATTATATGATCTAATCACATATGACTTATATGCACAAGATTCATTTTTTTTGTTTTCGATTCAATAGTTGTTCTTTGTTCATATTAATTGTATGTGATTAAATACATAAAATAACATATGATTAAATACATGATAACAACTATTGAATTGAGAACGCAAATTTTAATCTTATTCACATAAATTATATGTGATTAGATATGTATAATCATATGTGATTAAATACACGAGAACAACTATTGAATCGAGAACACGAAAATAAATATTGCCCACATAAATCGTATGAGATTGGATACATATAATAACATGTGATTGTGTGTATCATATCACATATGATTTATGTGGCTAAGATTCATTTTCGCGTTCTCGATTCAATAATTGTTTTTTTCCACTTTAATCATACGTTATTAAATTCATTTAATCATATGTGATTAGATATATACAATCACATGTAATTATTTACACAATAACAAATATTGAACCAAGAACACAAAAACAAATATTTTTCCAAATTAATCATATGTGATTAAATACACATAATCACATGTGATTATATGAATCTAATCACATATGATTTATGTGGACATAATTCACTTTTGCTTTGTCGATTCAATAGTCGTTCTCATGTATTTTATCACATGTGATTTATGTATAATCGTATGTGATTGAGTACATGAGCACAACTATTGAATCGAGAAGGCAAAAATTAATCTTGTCCACCTCAAGTCATATGCGATGATATACATATAATCATATGTGATTAAATATACAAAGCAACTATTCAATCGAAACCGCAAAAATAATATTGTCTACATAAATCATATCTGATTAAATACATATAATCATAGGTGATTATATGTATCCAATCATATATGATTTATGTGGATCAGATTCATTGTCACATTCTCGATTTAATAATTGTTATTTGTCCACTGTAATCATATGTGATTATATGTATCCAATCACATATGATTTATATGGATAAAAAATAATGATGTCTATATAAATCATACGTGATTAGATACATATAATCACATATTATTATATACACGAGAAAAACTATTGAATCGATAACACAAAGATAAATATTGTCCACATATATCATGTGTGATTAAATGCAAATAATCACATGTGACTAAGTACATGAGTACAACTATTGAATTGAGAAAGAAATAATGAATCTTGTCTACATAAATCATATGTGATTAGGTACATATAATCCCATATGATTATATGTATTTAATCACATATGATTTATGTGGACAATATT